TTTGCGAGTTGTTTTGATTCTGGAATTTGGAGTGGGTCCGGAATTTGTATGGAGTCCTCCGTACGGGTCAGTCGATCAGTTTTTGTTTCGAGTTGGAGGACACTTGGTGAAGGTGGTGTTTGTAAAGTGGTGTGATGTGAGAAGTGGAAGAAGTTTGGGTTATTGGAGTTGGGATGTTTCGGGGATCCTATGCTGAAGAGGAAGGAGGCTTTACTAATAATTGATATGCATGGGTGCTGTGGAGGGCTTTCGGCATCCTAGGAGGGGATTTGCGAGTGGTTTTGATTCTGGAATTTTGGAGTGGGTCCGGAGTTTTATATGGAGTCTTTTGTATGCGCCGGTCGATTAGTTTTTGTTTCGAGTTGGAGGACGCTTGGTGAAGGTGGTGTTTGTAAAGCGGTGCGATGTGATATGTGGAAGAAGTTTGGGTTATTGGAGTTGGGATGTTTCGGGGATCCTATGCTGAAGAGGAGGCTTTACTAATGCTTGATATACATGGGTGCTGGGGAGGGCCTGGGGCATCGCGGGGGGATGTTTGCCGACTATTTTGGTTCTGGAATTTTGGAAGAGGTCCGGAATTTGTATGAAGTCTGGTTTGTATGGGTCGGTCGGTTAGCTTTTGTCCCATGATCTTGCTCCGAGTGGCAGGACACTTTGTGAGGGTGGTGTTTGTAAAGTGGTACGATTTGATATGTCGAAGAGGTTTGGGTTATTGGAGTGGGGAGGTTTCTGGGGATCCTATGCTAAAGAGGAGGCCTTACTAATACTTGATATACATGGGCACCGGGGAGGGCCTTCTACATCGCAGGGGGGGATTTGCGAGTGGTTTTGATTCTGGAATTTTGGAGTGGGTCCGGAGTTTGTATGGAGTCTGGTTTGTATGGATCGGTCGATTAGTTTTTGCCTCGTGATTTTGTTTTCAAGTTGCAGGACACTTTGTGAGGGCGGTTTTCGCAGAGGAGTCTGGTGTGATGCTTGTACAAGTATGTTGGAGTAGTTTGGGTGCTTGTGAAATGGAAATGATTCGGGGAGGTTCCTGCTAAATGTGCGCTCCTCATTTGGGACGAGTCATAATTTGTGATGTTTTATGTTCAAACAATAGCTCCCTCCTCGGGTACTGTGCTGTGCTGTAAGCGTGTCATGCCGTCCACCGTAATCTCTACTCACATTATTGCTCATTGCTTGTGTGATTAGGTACCGGTATGCGTTCTTGGCTCTCCTTCTTCTTCTTCTTCTTCCCGTTGCTACTCTGTTTCTTGGATTTGTCTTGGGCACATTGATACTCCCATCTAAGAGGGGGTGTTTTTTTTCTCTCTCTCCAAGAGCATTAAATTTTGAAGGGTGGATTGGGGGTGGGGGGGGGGGGTATCGGCGTGTACTAGAGTACAGTACAGCGCTTTTCGCCAACACCGAAAGTTTTTTTTGTTTCCATTTCTATCCTGGGAGGGAGGTATAGAATATTTCATGAAATGCCAAAGTAGAAAGAAAAACCAAAAAAAACCAGCCCTTTCTTTCTTTCTTTCTATAATAAACGAACGTTCACTCCATCCAGTGAGTGAATACCGGTATGGTAAAATAAAATAAAAAAAACCGGGGGAAAAAAAGGAAAAAAAAATCCAACGATTTCGCAACTCCGTTCCGTCATTCCAGTGACGGATAACCAATCGACCGATCATGCTTCTAGAGCAGAGCAGAGAGGTATGATATATATATAAAAATAAAAAAAAGATTTCATCCAAATGTATTGTTTTTTCCAAATCGACCGGCCGATAACATCACTTGCCCCAATGCCCGAGAGAGACGACCAACGCCGCGACCCCGATGCCCACGACGAGGATTATGGAGAGGACGGCGACGCAGAGTAGGTAGGATCTTCTACTTTTCCGTTTCTCGCGGGCTAGCCATGTATCCTTCTCATCCTGATCCTCCTTCCTAACCGCGAGTCAGTTTCGTTCGGTTCGATATGTTTTTTTTGAGAAGAAGGGTTGGCGGGGGGGGGGGTTTATTACGATGTGGTGGTACGGGTATTGGTCCTCCCCGCCTTTTCCGGGTCTAGATCTGGGGGGGGTCCGGCGATGCGGGCTGCGTGGTAGAAGCGTTGGTAGAATGTTGGGTCTGTGTCTGTCATTTTTGGTTGTGTTGGTGGTTGGAGGTTAGAGGAAAGGTAGAGTGGAGTGGAGGAAAAGAAGGTGGAAATGGTTTTCCTTTTTCTTTCTTTTTTCTTTTTGGGGGGTGGGGGAAAAAAAAGGAAAAAATAAATAAACGAAGGAATGAATGAAGGAATGAAGGAATTAAAGGAATGGAAGGAAGGAACGAAAAGGAACGAAAGGAACGAAAGGATGAGAAAGGGGGGGGGGGAGGGTTATGTATATGAGTGTCGAGAAAAATGAAAAAGTTAAATGTGCCAGTGTTTTCAGTGATTCGGCATTAGCTCATGGCACGCTACCTATGATTTGATACACCATCTATCTACTGTACAGGTGCGGTATGATACGGTGCTGCATGCCCGTTATTTGGAAGGATTTGCAGGGTTTGGGTTTCATTTTTGGTTGACTGGCTGGGATGTTCCGTTGGCTATGGTAATCTTACCGGAACGGTGAGGTGAGGTGAGACGGGGGTGTATGACATAGATGGTCGAGGACCGCAGAGTACTGTACCTGTAGTCACTACTCGGGGCACGACGAAACTGGGCGGGTGACGAACAGGGGTGTTTGGCCGGCAAAAAGTTTATTCGTTAAAGTAGAGTCGTGACTGTATATGAAGAATCATCAACTTAGCCATACCGGTAGGTAAAGAATGGGGGGGAATTAGAACATAATTTTGAAAGTTGAATAAAAGCAATAATAATTGAAACACATGATACTGTTATCGGCAGGTCAGTACCGGGATCGGGGGGCTTCCATCTACAGCACCGGCGCAACTACTGATAGTCTACCCCGAGGCGATCGCCTTATCCACCCGGCTAATCCAGCCGATGGGGATGGAGTTCCTGTACCGTAGACAAAGAAAAACTTCCAGCCGATTGACAATGAAAAATAAAAATACAAAATACAAAATACACAAACCCGGGTGGATTGCCAATAAATAAAAAGACAGCTGCAAGGAAAAGGACTGTTGATACTTACTAAGCCCAAGATACATCCAATGAAATACTTTAGAAGTGATTTAAAATTCGCCTCCAATTTCTTCGTTTGCTGGTAGCTAACTAGACCCTCGCTAAGTAGATTTGTTATGTCAAACTTACCTCTTGATATATACAGTCGCACCCCGTAGTCCCGGACGGCCAAAATCCCGAGAACCCGTCCGGGACAGCGAGTTATCCGGGACAACAAGTTTGGTTTTGGTGTGAAGAAATATATAATTCATAGAAGCTCGTCCGGGACAGCGAAGAATCCGGGAGAGCGAGGTCTGGGACGACGGGGCACGACTGTGGCTAGTTTTTCATTCCCAGTGATATAGTTAGATGGAAAAAGACTAACTATATTATTGTTTGTCCTCGGTGGGGTTGATGGTGTAAGGAACAGGGGTGGTAGGGAATAGGAGTGGTGATGGGTGGTAAATTTATGTTGTTTCCGCAAGCATGTTGGGAGGGTAAGTACGGTACACAGGTGGAGTTCCGGTACTACGAACTATGACCTTATCGAGCGGTCTACTCGTATGATACTCGTAAGTATGATATCGGGAGAGGATAATTAGGTAACCTCACTATGAGAGCAATCTAGGAAATACATATAACTGTACAGTACATTTTTAATTTTTGGTTTTTGGCCCTTTGGGGTGTGCCGGTCTTTGCCTACGGGCACCCTACCGGTACAGTAGCGCTCTGTTCGAATTTAGCGGTACTGGTACGGTGATATGGTACAGTACGAGTACAGTACAGTACAGTACCGTAGCTTGGGCACTGCTAAACTATGGTATCGTGGGGTTTCCGTCATATCTTTTCACACTCTCCATCGCGCACTGTCAACAAGTACAGTATGAGACAGCACTAGCCGCGACAGCAGTGAAAAGCTTAATTCCTGCACTTGCCTTCGGATCCACGTGCACTTCGGTACGAGTATGATATGAGAGAGGGCACTTATTCTCGCCGGCGGGCGCGGTGGGCGGTACCGGTACTGTAAATCAGTAATTTCTTGTCGTCATGCCTTTTTCACGGCATAGCACAGCACGGTAATGCAACGCGCGCGTGCTTGAATACCTGTACCGCATTTGGAGCTCCAAATATTGTGAAGGAAGCATATTTCCTGCGTGTCTGCTCCCGGTGCTACTGTGGGCTGGAGGGTATAGTCCTGAGGAATACAAGTACCGGTACCAGTACCGTACCGTAAGCGCTGGTGTTTCCTGGTGCAGTCCTCGAGTGTGCGCTTGGTCAACTTATTGGTTGAATGGGGTATTTAGTAGGCGCCCGGGAATTGGTGGCAAATTGCCGTTGGCGATGCGAAGAGAACGCTCATTGAGTGGGAGGGAGGGTCAGGGCGTAAAATGACGAAATTTATCTGGGGAAATGTCCTGCTGGTGATTGATTTCTCGGGTTGAGATAGCCTGCTGACGAACATTGTAATCGATTCTGCGACAAGTACCGTGATTGGCCACAACCAGTTTGGAATAATACCCACCTCCTAGTCGGGATTCATGTCGTAAAATCTCTCAATACATTGCGCCCGGGGTGACGGCTTTTCAAAGAACGGTTGCTATAATAGGAACGTCCAACTGCCATGACCTTGTCCGAAAGCCCTAGGGTCGGAAATGGGTTACTGCAGAGCACCGTACGGTACCTGTACCTGGAACGAGTACTCTACCCTGCGTGCCTATCTCCAGTTTTATCCAATACCGGTACTCGAGGGGATCCTGCAAAGCGCCGGAGTTGTGCTGTACCCGGATCCCTGCCGAAACGTTGATTGGTGAGCCTTAATATTAGGTACTCGCCACAGTGAGGCGTCGGGGAAATGTGGTGTGTGTGAGGGTTGCAGGGGTTTGGTTGGTGGGTGGCTTGGTGCTGGTTGGCCCGGGCCGGTTGGGGAGAGTGAGAAGTTGTGGAAGAGTGATTGATGAGTTGATGAGAATGGATGGGGGGGAGAGTAATTGGAATTGGAGAGTACGGTGGGGTGGTTTTTCCCGGAGTTGAAGTGTTTTTATCGGTCGTGGGGGTTTTTGTGTGAGGGGGTAGCGTACGTACTCGAGTACTGTAGGTGTGCTCCCGAATTTCATAAGTATCGGACACTTGAATGCCAAGACACTCAGAAAAAGAAGACCCTTGGCGCCAAGGTGTCCGGATATCTCTGGAATTCGCGAGTAGTTGAGGATGATTGACTGGGGAAAGTGCGCGGTGGGGGGTGGATGGGAAATTCTTGGCGGGGGGTGTAGGGAACTGGATGGGTTTTTTGTATTTCCTTGGGAAAAAAAACAGAGAAAGAGAGCGGAAGTAGAAAATGTAGGAATATCTGAAGAAAAGAAGACCCTAACTTGAAAAAACTACCTAGTAATTGAAGCTGGTAAAGCCGCCTCTGGTTATTTCCACTAATGAGGAGGCGGTGACTGTTGCCCCTGGTGTTGAGGGTAATGCTGACTCTTGGACAGCTGATGCTGCTGAGCAGCTTTCTATGACCTCCACAGATCTTGATACCGATCGTCTTGTTGTACTTTGCCCGATCCCTTTGTCGGAGTCCGAGAAATCAGACTAGCAGCAGGGCCCACCATTGTAATGATTGCGATGGAATATCGTGTTCCGTGGTTCGCCGTGATTGGCCGGAAGTTGAGAGATCCGTATTTGCGAGCCCTGCGGGATCGGCCTATACTCGGTCTCGGGAAAATGCAAATCTAACCCGGTCTGGCTTCAATATGCGTGGCTGCAGTTGGTGGTGCTGGTTGAATCCGCTTCTGATAGTGTTCTTTGATAGTGCCCTATAGTCACGAACGGTTTCGGGTTTTTATTTTCCTAGCGGACGTGCGTAAGTGCATAAATGACCCTCTCTTCTATGGTAGTTGTATATTTGGCTCTGTAACAGTAATTGAGATTTCACTGTGGCTTTGGGTTTTTGTTTGCCCCGTCATATCGTCGGGAATGCTCGAGTACTGTAGAACTCCACAACATAATTCACTAGCCCGGAATGGCATCGGGAAAAAATGGGCTTGGCGCACAGGAATATATGCCCACAGCTGCCGTATGAAGACCCACAATCACCTCTCCTTTTCCCCCTCTCTTCATCCCCACATCCGCGATCTTACGTATATTTTCTTCTCCCAAATGGTGGTAGCTGATGGAGTGGACGTTATTTCTGAAAGCGGGAGAGCGATCGCACGGAGTGGACGTGATTTCCCATCCTATTCTCGGTGTTGCATGAACTGAAGGATGAAAATAGAATTGTCGCAATATAAGAGATTAATTCGGTCTCTTGCATCCATTTCTCCTTTCTGCCATTTCCGCTCCCTATGCGCGATCAACAGGGCATACCTGAAAGACAAGGCGGAATGGGAGGGAGTAAGGAAAAACCAAAAGAGTAAAAACAGGGTCGATAATTATCTCTGACAGTGGGACATACGAAAGGAAGGTTCTTGCGAGATCTCTCCATCGGATAGACGAGGGTGTTATTGGTAGTATCGGCGAACGGCTAACTTAGCCTTGTCTGGGCTTTTTCTGAAGCTGGTCCGTCTGGGCAGTGGGTATCTGCGGGTTTCCGGGTGATTGAGCATGATCGTGCTGATTTCTGGGGGGTTTCAAGAACGGTGTATATGTTCGCGTCGATTGAGAGGAAGGCAAGAATGTGTGCCAACAGCCTCTGCACCTACATCACCATACTGACATGATATGTTGTCTTTGCCACTATCACCGTTAGCCATGGGGATAAATACCGCTGGGCACAGCTACACTCTAGCACTAGGGTGTACGCGTATACCCTCACTGTAATGGCTCTATCCAACTTGGTGATCAGGACCAAAAGAAGAAGACACAGCCCGCAATGCAGAATCATCAGGATGAAGAATGCCTGGAAAGCCGTGTAACTTAGTAGAGAAGGGGCTATGAGGAAGACTATTAGAAATCGAGACCTGTAGTGATACCGAAATGGTAGACAGTACCCTGATAATCGAATGAATAAATAGTTGTGGATGCATGAGCGATTCATCCACATTAAATTTTCCGGAATACATCGAGCGATAAGAAATTACCCAGCATCCAAACCAGTTCCAACGCTTCAAACCCA